AGCTTTTCCTTGTATGGTTGAATGTTTTTATGAAAGAAACTAGTTTAAGGCTCGTGCGATGCACAAATTTGTTTAATATATAAAAATTAATTGTAGCAAAAGAATGTAAAGTAAAACAGTAATAATATATAAGTAGTCAGAAATAATACAACCTAAGTTGCATATATAGTTTGGAAAATTAGAAAGTTTGGAAAACTTGAATCAGTTTAAGATCATATATAGTTTGAAAAATGTAATTGTATAAAAACGGTATTCAGAAATATGGTGGGAGTTATTTTATTATTTAGAAGGTAGAAAAAATTCAAAATTAAAGTAAAATGTCAAAAAAGTACCAAAAATGGGTAAACTTAAAAAAATGAAAAAAAAAATGAAATGTTTGGAAAAAATGTGAACATATGGGAAAATAATATTTGAACATTTTGTGTGAGTCATAAATATTTAAACCATTATAACTTTCCAACAAACTTGGTAAAATAAAAGTGTAATGTCGAAAAACAAAGAAAATATAATATCAATCATATAAGGGGTGTATGACATCCACCTGATGAAAATATGAGACAATGTAATACCAAAATCAAATAAAGTCAGTGTAAGAAAATTGTATATGATTGCAATTTAAGAACATCATCAAACCATAAGAATACGGCATAAGAAGTACTCAATTAGTTAAATAAAATGTAACTTTCACATACTCTATATAAACATAAGAAAGAACAAAAATATTGAAGTGAAATGCATTGCCATTGGAGAAAAATAACAAAACATAATATAAGAGAAATACATTCTAGTAAGATTATATTGAGTTCATCAATTACCAATAGTAAAGATAAACGAAGAAACAAACAGATCTGAAACAAAAAAAATATAATTATATAGAAAGAAAAGAAAAATACACTTGTATTCAATAAGATACATGAATTGAAAATTAAAATTTTAGTTTGTCAAACATGCACACAAGCATGCACCACTACATACATATATATTATAAGACACGCTCAGATAGAGCTAACAAATCTATCCAAAACTTAAAGTCACATTAGAATAATTTCATGCTATGAATTAGCCGAAAGGGGAAAATTTTACTGTATGAGGTGGGTGAAATAATTAGAGGTGAAGAAATAAAAAGGGGTAAGAAGGTGGGTGAAAGGAGATGTGGGTGAAAGACTAATATGGGTATGTGTCATTTTTGCCATGTGTCATTTTTGTTGGGTGGTGTTTTCAAGGGTATGGTGGTGTTTTCAAGGGTATGTGTCATTTTTGCCAAGTGGCGTTTTCAAGGGTAAGAGTTTTTAGTAATAGTATATAGATTGCTTGTTTTCACAATAGATAAATGCTAAAGGACAAATTTTCAAAATCAACCATTTTCATAGTTTAAATAGCAAAATCGACCTTTTAGAAATTTATTCAGCAAAACCGACCCTTTTCTTCTGAAAAGGGTCGATTTTGAAATTTTACGACATACACGGGGCTGCTAGTCCCGTGTATTTCGAGGCAGTTTCGAATAACACGGGACTAGCAGTCCCGGACCGCCGCCGGCGACCAAGGTAAATTTTGTTTTTTTTAAATTTTGATTAGCCATGAAATTTCGGATTTGGGAATGGATCTGGGTTGAGATTTGGGAATTATGGTTGAGATTTGGGAATTATGGTTGAGATTTGGGAATTATGGTTGAGATTTGGGAATTATGGTTGAGATTTGGGAATGGATTTAGTTGAGATTTGGGATTAAGGTTGAAATTTGGGAATGTATTTAGTTGAGATTAGGGAATTAGGGTTTAGAGGGTTTAGACATGATTAGGGTTTAGACATGAATAATGTGATTTGAGATTAGGGTTTAACCATGATTAGGGTTTAGACATGAATAATGTGATTTGAGATTAGTGAATTTAGCCATTATTTGCTTTGTAGTTGAGATTAGGGTTTTAAATTTGACTTTAAATTAAGATTAATATTTCCAGTTATAATAGATTATTTACATATGATGGACTATTGATTTTCAGCTTCGATGGCAAACTCTATACCCATTATTTACTTCTTCAATGGGAGCCTCGGCGTCGGATTGAATAGTATGCCGATGTATGAGGGTTCTAGGAAAATGTTTATGCTATCTAAGTCATTAAATTTTGATGGAATGATGAATAAAATACACAGAGTTACGAAAATTAATAAAGCATGGTATGCAATTAAAGTGTTCTTTCAATTGTCCGATAAATGAGAGTAGAACTATTGCTGTGGCGATTACCGATGATGAGGAATTAAATGACATGAAACAATTAGTGGAGAAGCAAGTGTCAGTTAAGTTGTTCATTGAGAAGTATCTGATTCAAGAATTTGCCCAAGTTTCACGACCACAAGGAGAGTTTTCTCGGATGATGGACTTAGACAATGAGTCGAGTGGTTTTATGACATCTCCAAGTCAAGAGCCGTGGTGTCAACTATAACATTTAAGTGGGCATTCTCTTGGTGGGACGTCAAGTACTATATTTAACGACGCATCGGGCTATGTTACGGGTGATCTACCGGTCGGATCAATTGTAGAAGAAGAAGTAAATGATGACTCAGAAGATATTAAAGAAGAAGACGTGCAAATTGATAGCATGCATGTGGCAGTTGGAATCGATGATAATTCTCGTTGGATGGATCAATTAAATGTTAACAATGATTATGTGGAAGCTGAAGATCCGTTGCCCGACGAGTTTCATAATGAAGATTGGATAAATACTTTGCAAGCTGAATTTGTTGATGTTGGTCCAAACTTTCAACGACCTGAGGACTTCACTTTTAAAAAAGGAGACCTATTCGAGAGAAAGGAAGCATTGATCTTTGCGGTGCGAGAATGGTCTATAAAAAATCGGGTCAAATTCAAGCCTGTAAAAACTAATGCAACCAACTACTATGTAAAATATTATTTCAACGAGAAGAATGAAGTAGAGCATGCAAATGAGCAAGATGAGAGAAAAAGGAAATGTCCTTGGTTGCTAAATGCCGTTGTGAGGAAATCAACAAATGGATAATTTGTAATATCTAGATATTACGGGCTTCATACATGTTGCAATCCGTCGGTGGACATCGATCATTATTCTGCATCTTCCTCTTATATATGTAAGCTAATTATGTCTGAAGTTAGAGTTGAACTTGATCTAAATGCAAGTCAGATATTTCAAAGGGTAAATGATATGCGGGGTATTAAGATATCTAAATATAAGGCATATGATGCAAGGAGGAAAGCGTTGTCGAAAATATTTGGAGATTGGGAAAAATCTTATGAATTACTTCCACAGTATCTTGAAGCTATCAAGCGAAATAATCCGGGTACTGAATATGAAATATTGTCTGAAGAGATTGCACCGGGGATGGAGAGGTTCACTCGAGTATTTTGGGCATTTGGTCCGGCTATTAAGGGCTTCACTTTTTGTCGTCCGTTATTGAGCATTGACGGTACACATCTATATGGCAAGTACAAAGGCGTGCTTCTTGTGGCGACCGGTGTAGATGCAAATAGCAGTTTATTTCCTCTAGCATTTGCAGTTGTGGAGGTAGAGGATACTTCTAGTTGGAAGTGGTTCTTTGAACGTGCAAGTGCAATCAACATCAAACAGTTTAACGGTGTAGATACCGTCATAATCCTGTACCTGCCATTCATTGTCATTGAATACAGTAATTTGACATAATCTTGCCGCCTCAATTCTTCTATGCAAAATAGACTCATTCTTTGGTGTGTAACGCGTTGTCCAGTCTACACCGTCCTCACGCCTTTTGTTGAAGTATGAGTTTAGCCTATAGAACGTTCTTGCAACCAATGATTGTATTGGCATAGCTCGTGCTCCTTTAAGAACGCCGTTAAAGCTCTCGGAGCAATTAGTTGTCATCATGCCGTTAAAGGCGTGAGGACGGTGTAGACTGGACAACGCGTTACACACCAAAGAATGAGTCTATTTTGCATAGAAGAATTGAGGCGGCAAGATTATGTCAAATTACTGTATTCAATGACAATGAATGGCAGGGACAGGATTATGACGGTATCTACACCGTTAAACTGTTTGATGTTGATTGCACTTGCACATGTAACATACCACAACTTCAAAAAATACCTTGTGCATATGTTCTTGCGGCTTCCTCCAATCAGCCGGGTGGTGCGAGAATTCCATATAATCGGTATTGTTCACCATGGTATTGTTCACCATGGTATTGTTCACATGTTGATTGCACTTGCACATGTAACATACCACAACTTCAAAAAATACCTTGTGCATATGTTCTTGCGGCATCCTCCAATCAGCCGGGTGGTGCGAGAATTCCATATAATCGGTATTGTTCATCATGGTATTCAACAATTCATTACCGAAAGACATACAGTGAGAGTTTTCATCCACCCAATGATAGTCGGTATTGGCCCGAATATACTGGACCACGACTAATTCCACCTCAATACAAGAGACAAGCAGGTCGACCACGATATGTACGAATTAGGGGAACCATGGATCAAGGACGAGAAGGAATTGTCAAGCATAAAAAATCTAGTCTTTGCAAACAACCGGGACATACTCGACCTCGTTGTCCAGCTAGACTCAATAGATAGCAATTAATTGGTAATAATTGACATATTCAAATTGTGATTTATTTTAATGTAGACAATATAATTAGTCGTGGATTGGTTCCTGGACCGATTAGTGATGAGGTCCTATATGACCAGCCTCGACACCGTTCACATGTTATATCCTTTACAGAGGTAACTAAGTTTCTTATAATTTCAATATTGCATTCTTATAATATTGTATTCTTATATATTCATTTGCTTTACAGAGAGGCCCGGATATTGTTATGCTTGATCATAGCCTCAGCCATAGCCGTTGGCATCTAGAGGATGAGTGCATAATAGCAGCTGTAGGACGGGCCGGCTTCTTGACATGTTCAAAGCTTCGTTGGATGAGGCTAGATTGGCCCCTACTCACCACTTTGATAGATAGGTGGAGGCCGGAGACCAACACTTTCCACTTCCGAATGGGAGAGTCTACTATTACGCTACAGGATGTAGCTATGATACTTGGTCTCCGCATAGATGGTCCGTGCGTTACCGGTAGTGATAGACATTTTTGGTTGGACAGGTGTAAGGAGTTGTTAGGTGTAGCTCCAGAGTCAACGCCTGGAGGAAATATTAAATTAAAGTGGCTAAAAGAGACCTTCTCGGTGTCGTTGCCTTTTGATGCGCCGCAAATATTGATTGAGCAACATGCACGTGCATACATTATGCACATGATCGGTTCAATATTATTTCCAGATTCGAGTAAAGATAAAGTGCATGCCAGGTATCATTTTTATCAGTATTTATAATTATGTCTGTTGATTTAGCTTATTTTGATAACTTGAAATGTTGTGAAAATATGCTAGGTGGTTACCACTTATCGGGGACTTGGACACGTGTGGTGCGTTATCGTGGGGTAGTGCGGTTTTGGCGTACCTATATAGAGAGATGTCTAAGGTTGCATTCATGAAAAATAGTGACCTCAAAGGGTGTCTCAGCTTACTGCAAGTATGGGCATGGGAGAGGCTGCATTTGAAGCCGAGACTATGCGTGAATTTACAATTAGACGGACAAATTCCACTAGGATGCAGGTATTATATTTTTTAACGTAGTAAATATAATTGTAGTTATTCATTTGGTACTGAATTTTGAAACTAACACAGATGGAATGTCCAAAAATGTTTTGACGAGACCCCGGCGAGACAGTTAGATTTCTACCGAAATGAGCTTGACCGCATGAAGATTTTTCAGGTATCATTTCTATAAAAACGAGTTTTTTCTTCTATATATCAACTTTCGTTTTAATGATATGCAACAATTATATGTAATACTCTGTAGATGGAATGGGAGCCCTACACCCCATTTCTCGATCATCTACCCCCGATATGCACAGAATACCCAGTTATATGGAGAGCCAGAGTTCCTCTAATATGTTTCGAGATAGTAGAAATGCATGTACCGGACCGCGTGCTTCGACAATTTGGTCTTGCACAACATGTTCCGCAATTTGTTGAAAAAATAGAGAGGAAGGCGAAGAAAGGAGGCCAACAAAAGGACTGGGCAGCTGAGCATCAAAATTATATACACAGATGGAATGATAGACATTTTTGTATTGTTGAGCAAATCGAGCCAACTCCCCAGGAATCAGATTACTACACTTGGTATTGGAGGATAACTAGAAGATGGATACTCCATGCGACCACATCCCCGGTTGAGTTGCAAAGAGGATATGTGCCTCGGGGTATAGATGAGAGAGAATTAGTAAGTATTTTCAAATGTATTTTAAGATCATTTTTATTAGAATTTTTCAATATTGCTAAATTATGTTTTTTTAAAAATTTGCAGGTATCAGCAATAGATGATGTTCAAACCATTGCAAATCGTGGTTTGGAATTGGCTCGAGAAGGTAATATAGAATTAAATATAAATTTTACATATTGTAATTTGAATTTTAAAGTAATTTTTGCATTTCAGATTTTTTTGAATTATCTCTCGCAGGTACATATCCCGAAGCACAGAAACATGCATCAATATATCAGTCGATAATGCAGAGGCTTCACCAAGCCTTACATCGAACTCATGAAGACCTTCATGATGGACGAGAGGTAGTGCAATTAGTATACACACGTCAACAACGACATAGACGAGGACGACGCAGAAACGACAATGAAGTTGGGCCTTCCCAACGTGTTGACGATGGAGCTGGACCGTCACAACTACAAACGCAACCGGATCATGAACTCATCGAAGGTCGGGATAGAGGAGGCCGAAGACAAAGGAGGAGGAGAAGAGTTCTTGGATGTATGTAAGCTAATCGATATTGTTATATAAATTACAATCCTATTTTGATATGTACATTACAAACGTATTTCGGGACAATAGATGGTTTTTGGATTTGTAGCTGAGACTGTGGTGTGACATATTAGATTTGTAAGTGGGTTTGTGGCGTGATTTGTTGGATTTGGATTCGTAAGTTTGTGGTGTATTTTATGATTTTTAGATTTGATATGTGTTTATACAGGGAATTGACATATGAGTTTGTACAGGGAATTGAAATATGTGTTTATGCAATGGTGTAATTTATGATTGTTGCATTTGAAATATGAGTTTGTACAGGGAATTTTCCCGTAGCAGAAATACATGCACAGTTGTGAATGTGCAGGAAATGCACGGGACTGCTAGTCCCGTGCATTTCGTTGCGCCCAGGAAGTGCACGGGATCGTCCCGTGCACTTCTTTTGTGACTCTCTATAAAGTGCACGGGACTGCTAGTCCCGTGCACTTCATTTTTGTAGAGACATTAGTCTCTGCAAAAAACACGGGACTGCTAGTCCCGTGTAGTTTGAAACTGCCTCGAAATACACGGGACTAGCAGTCCCGTGTATGTCGTAAAATTTCTTCCGCAGCAAAACCGACCCTTTTCAGAAGAAAATGATCGGTTTTGCTGAATAAATTTCTAAGAGATCGATTTTTCTATTTAAATTACGAAAATGGTTGATTTTGAAAATTTGTCCAATGCTAAAATAGTAATCATCTCACTCAATATATACACTTCGGAATCAACCTACATCTACCGAATAGTATTGACCAAGTTTGTATAACACATTTCAAACTATGAACTGGAGAACTTATTTTATTTTATTCATTCGGAATCAGCCTATATCTACCGAATAGTATTGACTTAGTTTGTATAAAATATTTCTTTGTATTTTTTTATCATGTCCCCATCCGGAATAGTTCTCCTATTTTCTTAAGAAAACAAATCATATTATTCTACATCATAATTACTAATTGTTTATCAATTTATTGTGATTTAAATATAAACTAAAACCACTTGGGTGTTTTTCCTACTTTTATAGCCCGGGTTCCACCGGAAACATTCAAAGTTATGAAAGCGCGTTGGAATTTTCTTGTTGCAAATACAATAATAAGTTGAATTTCACAAAAGCCCCATCAAGTTAATTTGACCATCGTGCAGATAAGCACGAAAATATTTTAATAGGCAGTACCCCCTTACAAAATACCCCTAGCTTTGATGGTTTTTAATGCAAACCCTCGCTTACCTTTTTGTTGGGATTATGAAGCACATAAACTGTTAGGGATTTTATAAAGATTGATCTGCAGAATTAAATATTAAACGAATAACGACATCAATGAAAATACCATAAGCAAGTAAACACCAAGATTTAACGCAATTCGGCAAATCGTGCCTACGTCCACGAGGCAATCCAGAGAAAAATATTTCGTTATGAATCAAGAGTATAATCCCTTCAAGTTACACTTGAACTTGAGGATTATATCACTTGAGAAATATACAGTGTTACCTCTAGGGTACCAAAACCCTAAAATCCGTCTTACCGAAAATCTCCAATACCAGCAGAGAAACCAACATCATACTCTTGACGGCATCGTCGTTCTGAAGACAGCGGCTTTTGAATCACTAAAATCGGACAACCAAGTTTACGGCAGTCTCACTCACTCACTTCACTCCCCCCCCCCCCCTCTCTCTCTCTCTCGAGCTATTATTCACTGTTTTACTGTAGCACACGAAAAATTTTAGGTTTCTCATGAATAGAATTCCTTTATAAATGAATTTATTTTCAAATCCTCCAAACATATTCCTGTTACAACTAGATCCTCCAAATCCTCTTCTAAATATAATTTTAATTCATGTGGACCTGATGTGGGTCTTATCTTTGACTAGACCCACAACAATCTCCTCTTCTAGCCCAACGAGGGGGTATGCCAATCTGTAACTCCTTAATGGGAGTTCATGCCGGCCAATTTCCGACACAACTCGGTCTTCTCTCTGGAAACGGTCTTCGTTAAAAAATTTGCTGGATTTTTATCTGTGTGAATCTTCTGTAGCTTTAGCTCCTCTTTCTCAACTGCTTTTCTAAGCCAATGATATCTCATATCACTATGTTTTATTCTAGAGTGGAATGTAAAATTCTTTCTCAAATCAATAGCACTTTGACTATCAATAAAATTTTAATAATTAACTGCTGCAAACCTAACTCCTCCAGAAATCTTCTCAACCAAATTATCTCATTACTGGCTTCTACAGCTATAATATATTCCGCCTCTATTGTAGATAAAGTAACACACTTCTGCAACCTGGACTGCCAAGATACTGCTCCCCCTATAAAAGTGAACAACCAACCTGAGGTAGACTTCTTATGATCGAGATCACCTGCCATATCCGAATCTGTAAAATCACATAATACTACCTTCGAACCTTCAAAACTCAAACACAATATGGAACTACCTTTCAAATATTTTAAGATCCACTTTACACCTTCCTAATGAACTTTCCCTGGATTAGAAAGAAACATGCTCACAACGCCAACTGCATGAACTATATTTGGCCGAGTGAAAACCATGACATACATCAAACTCCCTACAGCTAAAAAGTAAGGAATATTCTCCATCTCACTCTTTTCCTCATTTGTAGTCAGGCAAAACTTTTTGCTAAGCTTCAAATATCCTGCAAGAGGAGTACTGACTGACTTGTCATCTTTTATGTTGAATCTATCAAGTAGTCATTCAACATATTTCTCCTGTGATAGCCACAACTTCCTGGCTTTCCTGTCATGAGCAATATCCATACCAAGAATCCGCTATGTCGAGCCTAAATCCTTTATATCAAAAGATTTAAATAACTCCTTCTTCAGTCCACCGATTATCTGACTATCCTGACCAACAATCAACATATCATTCACATAAAACAAAAGGATAATAAAGCTAGAATATGAAATTCTCCTAAAATATACAAATGAATCTGCAAGTGTCCTCTGGTAGTCATGAATCAATATAAAAGAATCAAATTTCTTGTACCACTGCCTGGGTGCCTGCTTCAAACCATAGAGGCTCTTCTTCAACCTGCAACACATGTGTTCTTTTCCCTTCACTTCAAAACCCTCCCGCTGCTCCATGTAGATCTTCACCTCCAAATCACCATGAAGGAATGTAGTCTTCACATCAAACTACTCAATCTCAAGGTATAAACTAGCTACTAACCCCAGGATAACTCTAATGGACGTCATCTTCACAACCGGTAAAAAAATCTCATCAAAATCAATGCTCTTTTTCTAGCCAAAGCCTTTCACCACTAATCTGGCTTTGTATTTCTGAATCTCTTTGTACCTATCCTTCTTTAACTTAAATACCCACTTGTTCTTCAAAGCTTTTCTGTCTTTTGGCAAATCCACCAACTTATAAGTATCGTTCTTCTCAAGAAACTTCATCTCTTCTTTCATAGTCTGGAACCATTTATCCTTGTCTTTATGAGTATTTTCCTCCTGAAAGCTTTCTGGCTCATCCTCTTCTCTCAGCAAAGAATACTCCAAAAGAGGATATCTCGTGGATGGTCGATGCTCTCTAGCTGATCTCCTTTGGAATGTGTGCAAACTCCTTGCAACCAAACACCTTTAGGTGAGAATAGGAAATATCTTTTTCGGACCAAACTCTCTCTAGAATATCAAAATCCATAGGAACTGAAGGAGACCTGTTGATTATGTAGCATGTAGTGTGAACAGCTTTAGCCCAAAAGCTCTTAGGTAACTTCACCATCTTCAACATGCATCTGACTTTCTCCACAATAGTCCTATTATACCTCTCTATAACTCTATTATGTTGCGGTGTGCCGGGCTCTATCCTCTGATGCCAAATATCATGCTTGGAGCAATAATCTCTAAACTCAATTGAAGTATACTCTCCTCCATCATCGATGCGCAAACACTTCAACTTCTTTCCTGTTTATCTCTTCACCATAGCATGAAACTGCTGGATGATTGAAAACACCTGGTCCTTTGGCCTCAATAAGAAGACCCACATCCTCTGTGATGCATTATCAATAAATATAATAAAATACTTATTACCAGCCAAGGACTCTACCTCGATAAGACCACAAACATCAGAAAAAATTAAATCCAGGATATTATCTTTTCTTTTAGAAGGCTTACTAAAAGAAACTCTATGTTGTTTGCCAAACAAACAATAATCAAAAGGGGTGAGTGACGAACCATTGACAAAGGGAATGAGGGATTTCTTGCCAATATCTGCAACCCCTTCTCGCTCATGTGCCCGAGCCTCCTATGCCACAAACTGAGAGTGTCACTGTCTTGAGAAATGCTCAAAGAATCATATGAAGCATTTGCTTGAGTCTTATATAAATTATAACATATACTTCCTCTAGCCACCACAAGAGAGCCTTTGGTGATTTTATATTTTTCTCCATCAAATTGAATTTCATTTCCCATTCGGTCCAAAGTAAGATCCGAAATCAAGTTGAGCCGCAAATTGAGAACATGTCGCTCATTTTTTAAGATCAATGTGTATCCAGTATCTATCTACAATTGTATATCACTAAGTCTCATAATCTTTGAGTAGCGGGTATTGCCCATCTTTACATTGCCAAAGTCACCTACTTTATACGACTTGAAAAGGTCTCTATTGGAGGTAGCATGACATGTAGCTCCTGTATCCACTATCCACTCGGAATTCTGACTGTAACATGCATACAGTCTTCTTCCTTGCAAATAAGAATAACATCAGTCTCAGACAAAGTAGTTGTAGTATTACTGTTAGCTTTCTTCTTCTCATCTTTCTTTTCATCTTTGTTCCCAGCCTGCTCTTTCTTCAATGCCCAACAATTCTTCTTGATATGACCTGGCTTCCCATAATAAAAATAACATCTCCCTTTAGACTTTGATCTGCCCTTGGATGTGCCACGACCTTTGGACGTGCCACGATATTTGGACTGGTCCATGTACCTGCTCCTATCCATGTTCTCTATGACACGTGTATGTGAGTTATCTTTGCTGGTAGACTTCCTCCAAGTCTCCTCATTGAATAAACTACTAGTAACCATACTCATCGATAACACACTATCTGGAGCTGCGTTGCTGACTATCATAACCAATGTCTCCTAATTGTCTGGCAAAGAACCCAATAGCAGTAAAGCCTATAGCTCATCATCGATAGTCATCTTCATGGTAGCTAACTGATTAATCAAACTCTTGAACTCATTCAAGTG